CTAGTAACCAAAACATTAGCAGCTCACAGTTTAATCCACTCTAGTAACCAAAACATTAGCAGCTCACAGTTTAATCCACTCTAGTAACCAAAACATTAGCAGCTCACAGTTTAATCCACTATGCTAATGCGGCTCATCATCCACACGGTAGTGTTGCCGTCAGTGCGCATGCTCATGTCTGCTGCCCTCTATAATGTCTCAACCACCCCACAGCTGGGATACAGCTGGGATGAAGCTGAGCTCACAGGAGCCCCTGAAGATGGCAGACAAAGCGTACAGCTGAAGGGATCCTCTGAAGCTTCAGGGGTTAGCCCGCCTGATATCACAGCTGGGGAAACAGGCCTGGGGGCTCAGAGAGGCAAAGTGACTTAGCCAGGGTCACACAAGAGAAGGCACCAGGCTCCAAGTGATTCTGGGCTCAGTGGGCATGAAGCCCATCTGAGAAGGAAGAGAGGTCAGGAGGGAGCTTGGCTCCAGACAGGACTGGGAAGGTCCCGTACAGGGGTAAACTGAGGCCCAGAGCAGTTAGGCGTCCAGGAGGCATGACCTCCTGCATTGTCGTGGTTCTGACAACCCCCCGTGTCTCACAGAATACGGAACTACACTTACGACAAGTAACCGTCAGCTCGATGAAAACTCGGGCTGAACAGAGGTGGTCGGGTGGCTTCCCAGTGCCGACCCAGAGGCAAAGAGTTGGGGCTGGAAGGTGGGGGCCAGGTCTGAAAGGATATGAGTCTGGAGGTCTCCAGGGTGGATGACGGAGGGTGAGAAGTTCTGGAACTGCGCCGAGGTCTTGTTGCCATAGAAGAGATACATGCGGCCTAGAGCGGGTGGAGAGATAGGGTTTACTCAGCAGGCTTCTCTATGGAAAATAGCACCCATGACAAGTGCAGGAACTGTGTCCCTGACACCCATCTTGTAGAAATGTTACCATCTTGTAGAAATGTTACCATCAGACAAGCTCGTGAAATCTCTTAACTTCACCCATGACAGCATGCCATGAAATCAGCATGGCACCTCCCTTGCTTTCAATGATAAAAATGGTTTGTGATGAGCTCGACATCACATCATTGTCAGTCTCTCTTCCCTCTCCACTCAACACAGCACGCTCACACAGTCTGCCCTGACCCATAGCCACTGCCATCCAAGAGGACAGAGAACACCTGATCCTTAGGGGTTCCAAGACTGAACATCTTATGAGAGGGGAGTGGGCAGCCAATCGCAACTAAAGAGTGGCTGGTGGGCTTGAGGTTAGCAGTCCAATACTTAGCCCACAGAATGAATGGTAGCTCACATCTGGCAATGGAAACTGCTCAGTGGCGTTGCCCCCAGATTCAAGTGGTGTCAGGGACACATGTCATGCTCGCCATACCTTAGAAATCCCGTGTCCCCACCCCTACCCTTAGCCCCCCTGAGGCGTACCCAGGTTCTGCCGGAACTCAGACTTGACTCCAATCTGCAGTAGCTGGTTCTCAAACAGGACCCCATTGTTCTTGCACACGAACCTGGGGGGGTAGTTTCAGGGTGACGGGACCCGTCTGGGCCCCCCATTGCTCTCCACTCCCCCTCCTATTACTGCAGACTCACTTATTCATCAGTTCATCAGCCTCTGGGATAGGGGGCCCGACGTCCTCAGGACCTGGGCTGAAAGTGGGGGAAAAGGAGTGAGATGAAAGGGACTTGGGGGCTTGAGCTCAGAAAGAGACAGGGAGCCCCAAAGACCTGCCCTGGAGGAGGGTCCAACCTCTGTTTACCCAGTAGAAAGCCCAGTTGCCATCAAGTCGACTCTAACTCATGGCAACCCCAGAATCCACACACCCAACATATCCCAGAGAACCTCAGAACACCCCAAAATCAGACTGTCAAATGCCTCTGATGGCAATGGGTCCTAGGGAGCAGCCTCCACCCACTGGGGGATCCCACGTTTCCTTTTTCTCTAAGTCCTCGCCTCTATGGCTCACCAGGAACCACCCCCCTAGCCCTCCCTGGGAGCCACCAGGGTCTGCCCCCCACCCTCTGAGGCCACCCTTACTCAGCAGCTGGGGCTGGGTCGGCCAGCAGAGCCATGGGGCTCTCGGGGGCAGGCGGCTCCAGCTCGCTGGGCCGTCCAATCCCAGAGCAGACAAGAGAAGATAGGCGTGGCAGGCAGCCAATCCAAGAGAGGCAGCAAGAGGTTGGGGGGGTGGGCAGAGAGAGAAAGAAGAGAGGAGAGAGAGGCGGGAGGCAGTAGGAGAGAATGAAGAGCCACTCAGCACATGACAGGACAGGACACCAGGGGCAGGAGTGGTCAGGCCTGACAGAGGCTGGAAGTGGGGAGACGGGGGGCAGCCCTGGTGTTCCCCATGACATGGGCCGTGGGTACCTGAGGAAGGCCTCCTCAGGCGTGGGTCCCAGGCTGGGCACGGCGGCTGGCCCGTCCGAGAAGACATCGACCAGGAGGTTGCCTGCACTGGCGGGAGCTGGGGCTGCTGCTGGCGGAGGGGCTGCCCGCAGCCCCAGGAGGTCAGCGGACGGTGAGGGCGTTGACTGTGGAGGAATGTGACGATCAGTGGCCACCACACTGACCCAGCCAGACCGACCGAGACCCACACCCAAGGGGACTCACCACGGTGCTGGGGGTGGGTTCCACACCCCCATTGATGTCATTGCTACTGGGGTCCCTGCGGCTGTCATCCAGGGCACTGGCTGCCCCTGGCCCCTTCTTGCGTTTCAGCTTGGCCAGGATAGAGGACTCACGCTCAGGGAAGGGAGGCATCTCCTCCAGCACTGTGGCCTGTGTGGGTCAGGGCAGGCAGCGGTCAGGGCAGGCAGGGTCAGGGCCGGGGTCAGTAGGGGTCAGTAGGAAGGGGGCTCTGACCAGGACGTCGGTGCTGGCCACGGAGCTGAGGGTGAGGTACTCGACAGCACGTTGCTGTAGCTCCACGTCGGCATTGCGCAGCTGGGAGCCAGCCCGCAGCACCCCCTGGATGGTAGCCTTGGTTTCAGGGAAGAGGTTGATGAACTTGATGTAGGTGGACAGCAACAGGGCCCGTGTGGCCACACTGCACAGGTGGAACTTGGAGTGGAGCAAGGAGAACTGCACTGGGGGGCTGCGGGGGAAGAGGGCAGAGCTCATAACGACACTGTGTAGGGTTTCTGAGGAACAGCTGGTAGGTTTGAACCACCGACTTTGCAGTTAGTAGTCCAGTGCGTATCCTACAGTGCCACATCTAAACTCCTAATAAACAGTAAAACTTCCCTCTTGGATAGCCTGGAGGCGCTGTGGGTTAGGCACTGGCCTGCTAACTATAAGGTCAGCAGCTGAAACCCCCCAACCCTTCCTCAGAGAAGAGATCAGGCTGTCTGCTCCCATAGAACTTTAGTCTTGGTAACCCTCTAATCTTTACAGAGACAGACGTCAGTCACACCTCTTGCACTGAGCGGCTGGTGAGTTTCAATCACCAACCTTTTTGGTTAACAGTTGAGTATTTATGTTTAACCACTGTGCCAATGTTGTTGTTGTTAGGTGCCATCGAGTCGGTACCGACTCATAGCGACCTTATGCACAGAGGAGGTGGTACTCCCAAGACCCCAGAACAGCAGCCTCTATAAAGCTGTCCTGGAGCATGCTGGGAGTCAGGTTCCTTTGACTCAAGACAGCTGGGTGGGTCAAGATGCTGGAATTCCAAGGAATACATAATTACTGGCCCTGAGATTCCTGGGGTACCCCAAGCCCCCTCAGGAGACATGTGTTCACCCTGCCCGGGGGGGCTCCCTCACCTGGAACGAGGGTCCCCAGCAATCAGGTTTCCAAACTCCCCAAGGATGTAGCCGCCAACTTTCACCATGTTCTCATGACAGGCTGGGGCCTGGAGCGCCTGGGAGGAGGGGAGACGGGCGCAAGGACTAGAGCGAGAAGGGAGACTGACCGCTCTGGCTCACGCCCTGACCGCACTTCTGGAATGTGGGTGATGTTAAGGAGGCTGAGGTCGGAGAGGTGGAGAAACCAGCCCCTATTTGCCAGGGGTCAGACAAGGGGAAGAGGGGCCTCAGGGCAGACTGGGAGGAGGGGCCGGTAGCCTCTTCACATCCAGGACTGCTATGTCCTATGTCCCCTGGGTAGTGGCCCTGAGACCCAGAGCCCCAGCTGTCCCTGCTCTGGCCATGGTTGCTGACCTCAAAGACGGTCTTGGCTGCGTAACCCTGGACATCATCACGGTTGGTGACAATCTGCAGCACACGGTACCACACCTCCTCGCTCACGTAGTCGCCTGCGATGCGGATGAGGTTGAGGATGGTGTCCACGTACCAGCTGTAGTCCACAGCATACTTCTCAGCTAGGATGGCCACCTTCAGGACCTGTGGAGGACAGGGAGATGTCAATGTGGAGGCCTCAGGGAATGGACTTACCAGAGCTAGGCTCGCCGCTATCCCTACCTAGAGCTCCACAGCCCAGCCCCTCCTCCCTCAGTCCCAGGAGTGGGTCCTCCAGGACTCACGATCTCTTCCCGGATGGCGTAGTCAGCTGTCTCCAGGTACCTCAGCATCTCGGATACAATCTGCTTGGCGTTGCTCCGGTCACACATGGCGTAGAGAAGGTCAGCCGCCCGCTGCCGTACACTGACGTCCCGCTCAGTCTGTGGGAGGAGAGTAGATCCAGTGGGTTCCAGGTGACCGGCTCCCTGGGGCAGGGAGATCTGAGTCCTGGGTTGGGGGATGCTGGGTGGGGGACAGGGAGCACACAGGGCAGGCCCTCCGGCGCACCTTGAGGGCGTTGATGACAGTGTCGATGTGTGTCTTGACGGCCTCATGGGAGAACTCGGAACTGGCCAGCGTGCACATGCTCTCCAGCGCCAGGTAACGCAGATTGGTCTCGCGGTGCTGCAGAAACTGGCCCAGCTGGTTGCAGGCACGGACGAGCAGGTTGGGCTCGCTGTCAGACCGCAGAGAAACAAGAGATGGGACGTGAGGCAATGGAGGACTTGGCGGGCATCCACTCACATCCCCTCACTCCAGAGGGACTCGTACCACCCAGAGTCCTGGCTGCCAAGGTCTCCTGGTGACCCAGACATCCGGGCTATCAAGGCTCAGTGAGGTCTCATTCTCACCTCAGGGAAACATTCAGACCCCAGCAGTCTGGGCCCTGGTGCTCCTGAGACCCGGGCCTGAGGCTCACCTGTCGTAGTGGATGATGAGGCTGATGGTCTCAAACAGGATGGCGTTCTTGGCGTTGGAGTGCTGCACCTTCTTGGACTTGGGTGGCTCCTGAGCCTTGTTGAGCACAGTTTCCAGACACTCCACCAGCCGTCCCTTCACCGCTGCGTCCTCTGGGGAAGAGAGGGCAGGCGCGGGGTGGGGTCTTTTGCTAGCCCGGCCCCCCCTTGCCCACTTCTGAGCCGTCAGCTGCTGCAGCTTTGGTCTCTGTTTCCTGAGCACCTTCCCGGGTCCTGGCCCACTAAGGGGCCCCTCAGACATAGGCATTCGGCCTGCTCTGTACTAAACTGGGCATGAGACCCCTCTCTGGGCCTCAGCGCCCTTGTCTGGGTCTTAATACTTCTTTGTTTTCTCAGAAAGAAACTCCAGAAACCCTCCCCGGGACTCCAGGCAGGACCACGGGACCTCCAGCCAGGCCTTCCTGAGGGCCTAGCCACGTGCCACTCATGTGATGCAGCCCATCTGCCACTCAATCGCCCACTGGTATAGAAACCAGGTGCCACTGAGTCAACTCCTACTCTAACTCATGGTGTCTCTGTGTGTCACAGCAGAACTGTGCCAAAGGGTTTTCAGTGGCAGGTTTAGAAGTAGTTGCCAGGCCTTTCTTCTGCAGTGCCTCTGGTGGACTTGAACCTCCAATCTTTCGGTCAGCAGTCAGGTGCATTAACTGTTTGCATGAGCCCTGGGTCCTGCTCAGTACATTGGGAGAGAAATGACCCTCAGCTTTCTGCATCCAGCTTTGTGCTACAATGGGCAGGCTCCCCCACTCTGTGCCAATAGCCAATTTGGGCAATGCACTCTCAACTAGCAAGTCCCCTGGTGCATGCTGTCTATGTGCAAAGTCTGTGTGCTTGTCTGCCTGAGTATGTGTGTGTCTATGTGCTTGTCCGACTACATGTACCTGTATCTACGTGCATGTGCATGCCTACCTGTGTGTGTACGCATGTGTATCTGGGTGTCTGTATGTGGTCCCTGGGGTCCATAACAAAGGTGAAGCATCACTCCAGCCTGAAAGAAATCCGGAGGCAGGCCCTGCCCCTGCCCAGGCCTTACCGGGAGGCGGGTAGCACTGTAGCAGTCGTAGGAGCTTCACCGAGAGCCAGGGGGCCGGGACGAAGTAGTAGGTGTAGTCCTGGAGATCGGTGGAGGCTGACGAGACGATCTGGGGTACAGAGGAGGGTGCCAAGTGGGCAGAGGCCTGGGGCAGGGACAGGCGTCCGCATCCCCCTCCAGCAGGACGGGAGCAGCACAGTAAGGCTCAGAGAGGGTGTGAGATGCCCGCGGTCTGAATCTGATGCTCTCAGCCACCTCTTTCCCTCAGTGGAAATGAAGGCGCTTGGAACAAATGGGGTTTGCCTCGACTCTTCTAGTCATGGAGGTGCTGGTGGACAAGCCTGGCCACTGGGGACAGGCTACTCTCTCACTCTGAGTCTCTCTGTGCCCTGGGCTCCCTCCATGAAAGGGCATATCACAGCAACCTGCTAAGGAGCGTCTCCCTGCCCCACAAATGAGAACTATTCAGGGGCAGGAACCCAGGGGTCTTGTCCTCAAGTCTTGGGCAAAACACGAGGTTGGACCCAAGGAACATTCATGAAGTTAGTGGGAAATTAATGGAAAAGTATGAAACTGTCTTCTTCCTGGCAATCTCCTCAACCATGAAAGCCGCTTCTCCAGGAAGCATTACCCACCAGGTAGCGCCCCTGTCACCGTCTGTCTCCCCACCCCCAGCCGGGCACAGGGCAGCACTCAGCTGTGTGCTGAAGGAATGAGACGATACACAACTGGACACACGAGCTGGCCTGATGCTCTCTCTGCTTAGGAATCCGAGCCTCTTCTGACCTGCCCAGAAAACACTTGTACTCAAGTCTTAAGGCAAGGATAACCTCCTCCAAGAAGCCTTCCTGGACTTTACTTCCAGGGTTAACTAGCTCCGTTCTCCATCGGAGCACAAATCACCCCTTGAGTGATTATCTGGGTCTGAGTTAGCCTCCCTGTACCACAGCCCACTGTCTGCAGCAGGACAGGGAGCTCCTGGAGGACAGGCCTCAGGGCAGGCTCCTAGGACAGGAGGGAAGGAAGGGGAGGGAAAGACAGGAGTGAGACAGAGGTATGTGGGAGAGGGAAGAAGCTGGAGGAAAAGCAAGAAGAGGCATAGACTGATACAAGAGCCAGAACCTCGTCCTCCCTGAGACTGGAGGGACTAGATGGTGACCCATTACTGTTACCCACTGTTTTCAACAGGACTACAGTAGATGGGAGGGAAATGTGGAGCAGAACTGATAGTTCTTACACCCAGACTTACTGAACCAGCTGATGGGAGAGGATTTCCTGAGACTATCGCCCTGAGGTTCTCAGAAACCAGAGCCAACCCTCTGAGGTCACCGTCTAGCTTAAATAACAGAATGGCTCATAAACTAGAGACTACCCATGAGAGCTGTGCTCCTGTAATACGTCATGTACCTGGGACCAACCTGGGCAGGGAAATCAGAGTACTGGACACAGAACTTCCAGAATACAACTCAGGAAAATGTGGCTACATTGTTGAAACATCACCAACGTCACCCAACAGTAATTGTTACATGGGAAGAAGGAAGACAAGATAACAAGGACAGCGGGCAGAAGAGTGAGTGAGGAGGGGGAAGTTGGGAGAGCCAGGCCTGGCACCCCCCAACACTGAACAAAAGGGACAGCTGAGGCCCACAGACGGGAAACCACAGGGCCAGGGCCACACAGCTAGGATGTGGCCAGGCCGAGAAGGAAGCCAGGCCACCAGGCTGAGCCTGAGTTCTCGACAGGTACACACCATCTGCCTCTCAGGGAAAACGGGAGGACCAGAGAGGTGTCAAGAGAGGACAGACACCAGGGGACCCTCCTAGAGCTAGTCCTGAGGCCACACTCACCCGGCTCAGGCGCGACACAGCCAGGGAGACGCAGGTCTTGAAGTCATCTGGGTTTTTCTTGCAGAGGCAGGTGATGAGGCTGACAGCGGCCGTGACCACACCCTGAGTGGGCAGGGAGACAGAGGTGGCCAGTCAGGGCTCAGAACGGGAGACTGGGGACTCGGGTCCAAGACCTCGAGAGGGTCCAGGTGGAGTGTGTTGGGGCAGGAGGTCCTGGGGATGGGAGCTATGAGGGATGGGTGGGTGTCGGGAACAGAAGTTGGAATTTCCTGGAAGGCTGGGTGGGTGATGGGTTGTGGGAACATTGGACAGGATCCCTGGGCATCCAGGAGAGCACTGGGGTGGAGGTGGGGACCTGGGGGTAGCAGGTGGGCATAGGCTACAGGCAGGGGTCTCACCATGTGCTGATCATTGAGTAGGTGCACCACACGGGCCGTCCACTCGCCCATGGGCACCAGGTCAGGAGAGGCTTTGTAGAGTCGAAGCAGACACAGGGCGGCACTCTGCTTCACGCTGTCCATGCTATCCCTGTTGGGGGCACAATGTAGGTGGGGATTAGGAGATGCACGGGGTGGTGGGGGGGATGTCAAACAGGCACCGGAATTCAGAGGAGTGGTCAGAGCTGGCATCCATGACTATGTGGGCTTGGACAAATGTTATCTTCCTCTCTAGGACTCCATGTGTCCCCTGTACGGTGGGAACCTGTCAGACACTGTGGTCGGTGGGTTAACAGTCCCATAATGGTTAAGGTTAAGTGTCAGCTTGACTAGGTCAGGATTTCCAGAGGTTTAGCAGTTGGGATGTGCTGATTTCCACGGTGATGAAACCCAACACAGGCACAATTAATTCTAGGATGAGTGGTTATGAGCAGCCAATCAATGAGAAGCATTCTTCCATGGGGGTGTGGCCTGCTCCCAACATAATGGACATGAGGGAGGGGCTCTCCTTCCACTGGGGACCTGGGACTCTACCATGTAAGATAGTAAGTTTCTCTTTATATATATTTTTTACTGGTTTTGCTTCTCTAGAAAACTCAGCCTAAGACAAGTCCCCAGAAGTGTCCACTTCTTAAGCCCCAGAACCTGCATGTCCAGGCTAAAGGGAGGTTAAGTTGGGAGATTCTCCAGGAGATCCGATGGCCCACAAAAGTTCGTTAGAGGAAGAGTCCAAGGAGGAGGCATGAGGATGCAAATGGCATCAGAGACTAGAAGATGCTACACTGTGGGCTTTAAAGACAAAGGAAGTGGGCACCAGCCAGGGAACAAGCGTGGGCAACCTTAGGAAGCTGGCAAAGGTCTCTTGCCCTACAGCTTCTGGAAGGGAGTCCTGAGATGCCAGACATTAGCCAGGGAAGCTGGTTTTAGACTCTTGACCTCCAGAAGCGTGAGAGAATAAGTGTGTGTGGCTTTTAAGCCACAGAATCTCTGCGTGGTGCACACAGTTAACAGGCCCAGCTGCTAGTTGGAATGTTGGAGGTATGTGTCCATGCAGAGATGCCTGGGAAGAAAAGTGTTTTCCAAACAATCCTATGGAGCACAGTTCTAATCGGACCGACAGGCCGTCAGGAGTCAGAGTGGATTTGATGGTGACTAGTGAAAACGCAGTCACAATGTCTGTTGTCCCAGTGGCCACAGGAAATGGCCTGAGCATTTCTCCAGCACAGGAACTGCTGACCAACAGGGGTCCCATCCCGGAGCACTGATTGCATACTCTGCCCATTACCCAGGTGCTACTGAACCAAAGGGAGGCCTGGTGGCACACTGACACCAAAAAGTCAACAACTTGAACTCACCAGTCACTCTGCAGGAGAAAGAAGAAACAGTCTGCTTCTTCCCATAAATGTTTAGTCCCAGAAACACTATGGGGCAGTTCTGCTCTGCCCTAGAGGGTCTGCGAGTCAGAATCGGCTCAAAGACGGTATGTAATGTCACTAAAGGAGTCCTGAGCGCCTGATGACTAGCAGAAAGGCTGGTGGTTTGAACTTATGCAGAGGCAGCTCAGGAGACAGGCCTGCCATCCTGCTTCCAAAGATCAAAGCCTGGGAACCCTATGGAGCCGGGTCAGCTGGCACACAAGGGGTCGCTGTGAGTCAGAGCTGGTGCCACAAGAACTGGTCTTCAGTGGGATGAAGACTGTGCAAGAGCTCTGGGCCAGACACGCCTGGCTTGAAGGACTACGGTTTGGAGGTATACTGACCCTCTCGGACAGGCAGTTTCCTCCTCAGGACAATGAGGACACTCGTAGGGATTGGGGATGAAGACATGACACTGCATGTCAGAAGCAGGCAGTGGACATGGGGACAGGTCCTGAGGAGAGGCCCTGGGCCACCATGGGGAAGGTTGCAGCTGGGTGCAGTGAAGAACAAGACCAGCAATTCCACTCCTGGGCGTGCCCTCTAGTGCTCAGAGACTCCGCTGCCTGTTGGCTACTGTTCTTAGTACCGTCGAGTTGGTCAAACTCATAACTACCTTGTACGGGGTTTCCAAAGAGCACCTATGGTAGGTTTGAACCGCCAGCCTTGTGTTAACAGTCCAGTGTCACAACCATAGAACCACCTACACTCCCCGCCATGGAGTTAGTGCTGACTTGTCTTCACCCTACAGGGCAGAGTTAAACTGCTTCATACGGGTTCGTTCCGACACTGTAAATCTTTCCAGGAGCAGAGAGCTGCATCTTTCTCCTATGGAGGGCTGGTGAGTTTGAACCATTGACTTTGTGGTTAACAGTCCAATGCTTAACCTGTGGGGCCACCAGAGCGCCTTGCGTAAGGGATAGTGTCCATCAGGCAGTGTCTGTACCAGCGTCTGCACAGCTTACTGGGCCCCAAACGTGTCTGTGTGTTAACTCACTTTGTCCCTGAAGATAAAGTGATGCCGGTTCTCATCCTCATTCACAAATACGGATCTGGCCTCTGTGTAGTCAATTAAGCAGACGGAAACATCTTTCTGGTATTCTCTACTTTCAGCCAAGGTCCTCCATCTGATGTCAGCAGTGCAATCCCTCGTCTCACATCCTCTTCTGCTATGAGGCACGGTACGTAACAACGAGTACAGGGTTTCTTTTTAGGGATGGCGGCCTGGTGACTTGCTTCTGAAAGGTCACAGCCTTTTGAAACCCCCTTGCGTACTTCTCCTCTGCAGACGGGGGGTTGGCATGAGTTAGAATGGATTTGACAGCAACCAACAACACGGAGTCCTGGTGGTGCACTGGTTAAGCACTTACTTGGCTGCTAACAGAAAAGTAGGTGGTTCAAACCCACCAGCTGCTTTGTGGGATGAACAGTGGCAGTCTGCTTCGGTCAAGATGCCAGCCTTGGACATCCTATGGGGGGACAATCCTACTAAGTCTTCTAGGGTTACTGTGAGTCAGGATTGATTCGAAGGCACACAACATCAACAGGACTCAGAAGCACTGCCTTGGGTCCACATTTAAAAATACACTAATCTACCGTTAAAAAACCGAAAAGCTTCTCAGTTACCCCGTCACAGCCAAGGCCAAGTTTGCAGCGCTGGGAGCCCTCCGAGCTCTGTGGCGTTGGCAGGGCACCTCTGCCGCTGTAGCCATTTTCCCTTGGCGATGGCATCTCCCATGCTCACTCTCAGTCCTCAGAGGAGCCAGGTACTGGTGATTTCTGTCTTATTCCAGTTCGTAGCGAATCCTGTTCTCATCTTCAGGTATCTGTCTCCTTCCGATGATGATTTTTCTTCTGAGTTTTGGTCCATTCAATTCTTAAGCTCCCCCCACCCCATTCCTGAAGACTCCTCCCATCTGCTTCTGGGCCTCCACATGCTGGCCACACCAGGGCTCACCTATCCCGAGGGATTTAGTCAGCCAGCAGCTAGATTCGCCAGCGGTTCCTGCCAGTCAGATACGGAGATCACTGGCCACATATGGCTGCTGAGCACTTGGAACTACTACAGGCTGATCTGAATGTGGATGTGACAAATGTGTAAGATCCACAGCATGAAGAAAGGGACTCCCTGGATAGCTCACCAAAAGGTGGTTGGAATTCATGCAGAGGTTCCCTGAAAGGACTGATGATCTACTGCTGACAAATCCAGAGCGGTTCAGCTCTGATCTGGTGCCACCGCGAGCTGGAACGGACTCAGTGGCAGCTGGTACTACGTGCTCAAGATTTCTCGCTTTGGCTGCGTCATGTCACTTCATTTTCTAAAATTTTGGTTTTATCTTCCATTTCTTCTTTCACATTTGCTTGCAGTCTACTCATATTTTTCAGTCCTTCTGTTCTTTCTTGAAACCTATGAAACGCACTTACTTTCCCTGGCTGGCAGTGGCACTACTTCAACTGTTTTCAGTCTGATGTCTGCTGGGTCTCCCCCGCGGTGCCTAGCTTCCTGTGTTTCATGATTTTTGACTGACACTCACGTCACTTGTCGCTTGCTCTGTGGACACCACTGAGGCCTGTGAGGAAGGTGGGTTCCTCCAGAGAAGGGCTGTGTTTGCTTCTGCTGGCACTGTGCCTGGCCCGTTTGTGTCTCTTACAAGGAAAGCCTAGTGGGGGTTTCGGGAAAGCTTGGGTCGGGTCACTTCTGCTTAAACACGAGTCACCAGTGTGAGGGCTGGCCTGGGCCAAGGTTCAAGACAGGTAATTCTGCTTACACTCCCCCTAAAGGGGTTCGTTTCTAGGTCATGCTTCCTTTGAAGTGTGGCCTCCTGGAACCTCACCTTGGGCAAGCTTTGTCTTCTGTTCCCAGAAGCTATGAGGCCCCAAAGTCAATATTCTGGAAATGCCTTCATTCCAAGTAAAACAGTGAGTGTCTGCTTATCTCCCTGTGTGCTGAGCTGCTCTTTGCTGTGGCCTGCGCTCTCCGTTTTCCTTCTAGCTCATGAGCACACTGGAGAAGCTGAACAACATGTCTAGTCTGCTTTTAGCGAGAGCATCGGACTGGGTATCTAGGACCTAGTCCACTGCCCCACTGTCAGTAGAAGTCCACATTCGCTTGGCAAAGGCAAGACAATCACAATTAACCCAACATGCAATGTGTCACTCATCAGCTTAAAACCACCAATTGCTAGGAAATCAGGGTGAAAGTCACACTCTCTCTGTCTTCTCTGTTTGCTCACTGCCTGCCAGCAGTTCCTTTCTCTGTCCCTTAAACACAGAAAACGACGTCCACTGCCAAGTTTTTGTTATTTCCTGTCCCTCGGCTTGGGACACACTGTCTTCACTAATAGTCAACCTCGTGCCTTCTCTTCAGTCCAGACTCAAGTTACCCATCACCTCCTTGGAGAGGGACTAGAGATATAAGCGGCCTCCCTCGTCCCTTACCACCACTGACTACAACCTGTTTTACTTTCTTCAGTGTTGTCAGTGTCTAACCCTGTTGGCACAATGGTTAAAGTGCTCAGCAGAAAATGGAAAGGTTGATGGTTTGAACCCACCAGCTCCTCCATGGGACAATGACCTCTAGGGTTGCTATGAGTTGGAACCAACTAAGGAGCAATGGTTAAATGCTTCACTACTAACCAACAGGTTGGCCATTTGAGTCCACCCAGTAGCCCCATGGGAGAAAGACCTGGTGATATACTCTAGTCAAGATTATAGTCCAGGAAGCCTTCTGGGGCAGTTCTACTTTGTTGCACGGGGTCTCTGTGAGTCGGAATGGACTTTCTGGCATCTCGCCATGACAGCAACCAATTCATCTTCCTTCTTGGCTTCTATGTTCCATTTGGCTTCCTGTTCAAGTTCACCACCTGCTCCTTGGAAACCCTATACAGGATCGCTATGGGTCGGAACTGACTCAATGGCACGAACACCACCACCTCAGCTCCTTGAGAGTGAGCCCAACAGGGTCTTTGCTGTTTACTATTGCCACGCTACGGCTACTACAATGTACCCAACGTACACTACAACGTAGACGCTTGAGAAAGATTTGCTGATCGTCTCAGGACGGTTACATGGCCTCCCCTGTCCATGGTCAATGACTATAACCCTCTTCAGGTCTCAGTTCAATGCCACTGCCTCTGGGAAGCCCGCCCTGATCCCCCAGGCATGGTCAGTGTAGCTATTAAACATCTATCTATCTCCGTGGTGGAACAATGGTCAAGTGCTTGGCTGTTAACCAAAAGGTAGGCAGTTCAAACCCAGCTAGTGGTTCCAAGAAAGAACGACCCGCATATTGGCACCTTGAAGATTACGGTCTAGGAAACCACAGGGGCTGGCTGTGCTCCGCCTTACAGGGTCACCATGAGTTGGAATCGACATGATGACACCCAACAACGACAGCAGCCTCCTAGCACAGTTCAGAGGGAGTCAGTCTACATTTGATCCTGCAGCTCTTGGAACAACAGACACACTCTGAGCTACTGATGGTCTTGACACTGACATGCCATCAAAACAGATGCTGATCTTCGGTCATGGCCCTACCCCCAGCCATCAGCACCGTGCCCAGCACATAGGAGGTGCTCAATAAACAATGTCTGTGGTTCTAGAGGGTGGTCACTAATGTAACTGAAGGTCATCACCTCTGTCAAGGGAAGGGTCTGACTTGGTTAGGTGGCTGCAGTAGCCCAGTGGTAGGTAGCACCTAGGTCCAATCTGGTGACACAAGCTCTCTGAGCTCTGCGTTTCACGCCCTCAGGTCCACGCCCTCCCCAGCCCCCTCCGCCTCACTGCCTTACCCAGCCACTAGGATGCGGGGGATGTCGGAGGCGAAGGCCTCGCCCATCTCACGGCTGCCCACGTTCGCAATGCAGTGCAGGGCCAGGCACATGAAGGTGGGATTGCGGCTGGCTAGGTCGTTCTTGATGGCATTGTTGATGAGCCGGATCAGCTCCGAGTTCGAGTTCACCAGCACCGAGATGAACAGGTAACCCTGGGTGGGGCGGAGGACAGGTTGGGGCTGGGAGCCTCATGGCTATGTGGCCCTAGACCCCAACTGCTGCCCCTGGAGTCTGTAGCCCCAGCCCCAACTCCCGAAACTCACTATCTGCTTCTCAGTGTATTTATTGGAGCTCAGCAGGTTCACCGCCTCCATGTGACCAAAGTCGATGTCGTGGCCCAAGAGGAAGATGAAGAGCAGTTTACACACATATTTTTTCTTACTGTAGCCATCCAAAGCTTTGTCCCCTGAGGCCAGAGGAAGGAGGAAAGGGGAGGCAAAAATGAGGAAGAATCACATCCACAAATGGCAGAGGTAGCCAGACGCCTGCTCCCTCAGACCCAGGAGTCCCAGCCCCACGAGCTACCTTTGAACTTGGAGCGGATGTTGGCTAGTTCCTTGTTGATCCTCTTAATCTCTGCCTCCTTGCTCTTACCTGGGGAGAAGACAGGATGGGAGTGAGGTCACAGGCACGTCTGGCTGGAAGGGCTGATGTTTCTGTCCTTGGGCCCTGATGTCCGTCTGGAGCTGCGGCTTCAGGGCGTGATGAGGTATCTCCCTGGTCCCACTTCCCAGTGCAAGAGGCCACCCACACTCTAGGCTCTCCGGCAATGGCCCCTGAGAAGTGGGGTGTCCACGGGCTCCCCACACACAGTGTACCCTGACCTGCCAGCTATGTGGACCCCAGGACGGCGTTGTTCTACCATGTTCTACCCCAAGGCTCCCTGAGTTTGTGACCAACAAATGAATACGGCATTCAGCAGCCTTCTGGTCACTCTCACCCCCACTGAGTCCAGCATTTCCCCAAAATCCACTATTCCCCAGAAGTCCCACTCCTCAGAGATCTCACTATCCAGTCATCGCTGGGTGCTGTCCTTTGTCCCCTTCCTCCTCACAGACCTGGCAGCCGTGTCCTCTCCCAATGGCCCACTGTCCACCTCCACCTGGAGTCCTGGCCACCAACACCCAGCAGTCTTTCTTTTGACAAGCCCTGCTTCCGAAGGATGCCAGAAAGATCCCCCAATGCCTGCCACACTCCGTGGGGACACAAACCACTGGGAGAAGACCTCACCCTCCCCTCAGGGCCCCCACGCCTTAGTCATGTAGCACCTTGGACCCTCTACGGACAGACCTCATTTCTACCTGCCTGAACCAGGCACAGGTCTGAGTCCTCAGCCACTGGTCATTCCTTACACCATCCAGGGGGCTGCCATCCCATGACTTCCTGGCTCTGTTCTGATCACCTGGCCAGGGTTGCTTCTCACCACCTACAATGGCTCCTGCTCAGTTCCAGAACATTCCCTGCTCCAGCATTGTGGCTGGGACCAATCTTAGGTCTCTGCTCCAACTCCTCCTATTATTCTGCTTTTAAACAAAATTTCCTCCCAAGTCCACTTCCCACGATGCAATTATTCCTTGGGTAATGGCTCCAAACGTCACAAGGGAGCTCAGAACTCCAATGCCTGGGAGACAGCAGGGGTGCAATAAACATCTGGTCAGCTGAAGGGCAGAGGCCTTTGTCACCTGCAGCCTTCAGCTTGTGACCGGACATTTGGGAGGCTCGGATGTGCACCCAGAGAATGAATGACTGAATGGACGAATGAGCAAGCAAGCAGATGTGCAATCCCCTCTAGAAATCCTGTCCCCACACCCCCACAATGGCCATGGAAGCTCCCATAAGCCTCTGATCAAGAGCCACTGCCTCCAGGAAGTCTCCGATTGGCGCATCCTCACCGGTACCAAGGAGGCTGAGTGGCACAATGGTCGAACGCTTGGCTGCCAAATGAAAGATGTGGCAGTCAGCTTCTAGAAAGAGGACGCCTTGGAAAGCCTCTGGGGCAGTTCTACTCCATCCTACAGGCTCACTATGGATCGAATTTGACCTGAGAGCAGTGGATTCTGGCCTGGAATCTCACTGCAGCCTCGGCCTCGGGGGGCAGTGCAACATCCAACACCAGATGTTCTGGACTGAGGCGGGCTGCAAGGATCAACTTGGCAATCGAAAGCAAATTAGTACTGGGAAGTTTTGGACAATACTGACTACATGTTGAAAGGATACTGTTTTGGATGTAATAGATTTTTAAAATATATTAAGATTAATTCCACCTGTTGCGGTTCACTGATTTCTTTTTTTTAATTTTTAATTTTGCAATGTAGGTTGTAGAGAAGTCAGAACTACATGTAGCTCTTTTCACAAGAGCCGGAAAGGCGGAGACTACTGTCGATGACTGGAGCAACAAAATGAGGCCCGCATACACACTGGACCCCACACAGTCAATGACATGAAGTCCTGGTGTGACTCCACTCCATGGACAAACTGGAAAACATTATGCGGAGGCGAGATTAGTTGCAAAAAGACAAATACCATATGATCTCACTTGTATATGAAATCAGCATATAGAGAAAAACTCACAGGAGTCCTGGTGATGCAAGGGTTAAGTACTTGGCTGCTAACAGAAAAGTTGGAGGTTCAAACCCACCCAGTGGCTCTGAGGGAGAAAAGATCTGGTAATCTGCTCCCCTAAAGATTACAGCCAAGTCAGGCAAATAGTTTTTGGTTTACTGAAAAAATTTGCAAAGTTTTTCTATATACTTTAAATTGCTCTAAAAATTAAAACCTATTACAAAAAATGACTCAGGTCGGTATCTTAAGGTCCCCGTGTGGTGCAGTGGGCACTCAATTACTGTCCAAAAGATTGGCGACTGGAAGCCACCTAGCGGATCTCTGGAAGGAAGGCCTGGTGATCTGCTTCCAGAAAGATTGTTGTGAAATACCGTCGAGTCAAATCCAACCCATAGTGACCCTGTATAGGGTTTCCGAGGAGCAACTGGTGAGCTTGAATCACCGACCTTGCAGTTCAAACGGCTTTGCAGTCTAGCGCATTAACCCACAGCGCCACACCAGGACTCCTCTAGAGAGATTGTTGTTGTTATGTGCCATCGAGTCGGTTCCGACCCATAGTGACTCTGTACAGGATTTCCGAGGCTGTAAATCTTTACGGAAGCAGAAAGCCTCATCTTTCTCCCGTGGAACAGCTGGTAGTTTCTTACTGCTGACCTTGCAGTTCACAGTCTGATTTGTAACCACTACGCTACCAGAGCTGCTAGAAAGATTAGAGGGCAGAAATTCCCACGGGACAGCTCTGTTCTGGGCCACCGGGCCAGAACTGACTATACTACAGCAGGTTTGGGTTTGGTGGCTGGCTGGGTTGGCCTCCAATCCAGAGCACACTGGGAGCCCCTAGAGGGCAGGCTCAGGGTCTTCTCCCAGTAGTGACCACCCACCACAGTTCCAGAGGCTTTTGGAGGGAGAGCTAAGAGCACAGTGGGGGTGGGGAGACATGACTGAAGGGATGCTGTGCCCTCGGCAGGTGGTGTGGAGGTCTCTGGGTCCAGCACTGGGGGAGCCGTTACTTTGGGATCTGACTTGTGTGGTCTCAAAGGCCACTCGATCCTTCACTTATTAATTACAGAGGTCAAGCAGGCCAGGCCGGAGAGGGCAGAGCTGGGCATCCTGGACCCAAGAGGCAGACCCGAGTTTATGATCTGCCTGGGAACCTCCAGCCCTGGGGGAGAGCAGGCAGTGGCCAGTCAGTTAGCCACCCCGGTTAGCTCTGCAAGACCCAAGTAGCCCTGGCACGGCCTGAGGCCTCAGTGAAGGCTGCCAAGAGGGGACATTTGAGGAGCGTTTTGAAAGATGAGGAGGGTTCGGCAAAAGTTCACCATCGCTTGAAGGCCAGCACGAGGCCCCGTGCAAGGGCACCTGTGAGGTCAGGACAGCGCCTCACTCTTGAGCTAGACAGGATGGGGCCAGGGAAGGGCCTAACCCGAGTGTTTCCACTACTGCCTTCACACCCTGCTACAGGTACCAAAATCCAGAACACCTTTATCACCCATCACTAGCAGGTTGATTCCAACTCCTAGTCACCAGATGAAACGGAGCAGAACTGACCTATAGGATTTTCAAGGCTGTCGTCTTTATGGAAGCTGACAGCCACGGCTGGTGAGTCTGAAGCACTATGGCCTCTCAGTTCACAGCCAAGTGGGTGCTTTGCCCACTGCACCACCAGGATGCCTCATCTCACCAAACCAAACCCACTGATGTCAAGTAGATTCCGTTCACAGTGATCCTATAGGGCAGAGGCAGGCTGCCCCAGACAATTTCCGAAGCATCTTTCTCCAGCTGAGTGGATTCAGAGTCCCAAACATCAACCTTTCAGTAAGCAGCTGAGTGCTTCTGCATCTATCCAAAAAACCAAACCAGCTGCCATCGGGTGTGCGCTGGCTAACTTCCAGAGGTAGTACGGCCCTGCCGTGGGGCTCCCGGAGAAGGTATCTTCGAGCCACCAAAGGCCTCCTGACAGCCCGGATGCTGACCTGCAAGGACAGCCCACAGGAGGGATTCCATCCAGCACCCCAGCCCGCCCACTGTCTCGCTCGCTGCCAAACACCTGTCAGACAACCGTGGTGACAAACGTCCAGCTCTACTACGACCAGGCTGTGATGTGCCTCCCGCACAAGTCCTCAGAAAGGGTTCTGGGAATAGAGATGTGTTGAATCAGGCAGGCCCTTTAGATAAAGTTCAGAACGTCTGCTCTGCTCTGTCCCATGCTGTTGACTACATTTGGTTGTGGAGCACCGGGAACGTGAAAACTCGAGTCAGAGGTTGTCCCTCCTCGGCTCCCATGTGGCTCCAAGAGGCTGTTCCCTTGCTGATGGTCACCTCCCACCTGCTCTTCTCTGCCCCTCACTGACTTGTCTCTTTGAAGCTCCTCCTATATCCCAAACATAGTCCTGCCTCTGAGGCCTTCCTTGTGGGCTGTTCCCTTTGGCTGGAAAAGTCTCTCCTTTGATTTATGCTTGCCTGCCTGCAGAGAAGCTGAAAGGAGCCCCAGTGGCTCAACTATTAAACACTCATGGGTTCACCAAAAAGGTCCAGCAATTCAAGCCCACCCAGAGGCTCACCCGAGGGGGAAAGACTTGGCGATCTGCTCCTAAAGATGACAGCTTTTCTTAGAAAACCCTTTGGGGCAGGTTCGCTTTGTCACATGGAGTCTCTGTGAGTTTGAAGTGACTTGATGGCAGCCGATGACAACAGTCACCAGTGGGACATAGGGCTTCTGTCCATGGCCCTAAGACCTCCTGATTTGTTCCGTCTTTCCTGTCCACTAAGTCTGAGATTTCATGGTAACTCCGGAAGGTACTTACATCATTCCAGTTTCAAGGGGTCTTCACCTAGTGCAGAGACCAGCTCCACAGATTTCAACAACCACGGTTACAAAGCAGAACAGGTTTCAGCGGAACTTCCAGATTAAGAGAAGACTAGAAAGAAAGACCTGGCGACCTACTTGGAAACATTAGCCAAGAAAACCACATGCATCACAACAGTCTGATCCACAAACGGGTGGTGGGGGTGGCGTGGGACCGGGTAGCATT